GTGCGGCCTCGGTGGCTGATTCAGAGTTTGACCAAACTGTTACTTTCTAACTGTCATTGCGGGGCCCTCAGGAGTATCAAGATTACGAGGCCCTCTCCAGTGAGCTTGAGAGCACCCCTCTTGTATCTGAGAGTCTCAAACCATCTTCCTCTATCCTTCTTACTCTAAGTCTGGTATTGTTCTGAGGGGAAGGCGGCAGGCGGGATTGTAACCCGTAGGACTGCATCAAGACTCTGGGGGAGTCTGCCCACCGATTGCGGGAGCTCTGCCGGAGCCTAGGCGAGGCTCTAGAGGCGGGGAATTGACAGGTAACCTTTGCGTTTTTCCTCTATACACCTGAGATATAACCCCTATCTGTACTACCTGATGCATCTCTGACTGAATATTTGGTTTGACTTTAGGGGATTGAACCAGACTAAGTAAAGGAATATCTGTGAAATCTCAGTTTCAGCTTTGTTTGTTTGTATGAACTCAGAATGTTAAAAGGAACTGCATCTGGGGGAACGGCAGGATGGGTTTTTGTTTTGCTTGATGGTTGATTGGGTCGTTAAGGCTGAGGAGTCCCCATAAGTTTGGGAAACCGCAACGCTTTGTTTTATTATGGTTTGCATGGAGAAGTCAGACCCTTCTATAAGTTTAGGGGGTCTGATTACTCTGGAGGCTGGGATGTCCCCATAAGTTTGGGGAGACCCAGTGATGTGGTTTGCATGGAGGGTCAGGCTGTTATGTAAGTTCAGGTGGCCTGACTGCTCTGACCTGTAAGGGGGTTTTGATTGTGCTGGAATTTCAGGGACTAAGGCGCTCAATAAGTTTTTGCCTTGGGTTGCCTTGTTTTCATTGAGATTTTGTTGTCTTTTGGTTTCTGAACGAGGAGGCTGAGCTGTTCTGTAAGTTCGGGTGGCGTAGTCTCTTCCTCCTCTTTATTCTGAAGAATTAATCTTGGCAAAGAGGCACTCTTCTGTAAGTTCAGGGGGTTTGACTCGATGTCACACACATAATGGCTCAGATAGAAACGAATCCGGCAGAGAGTTAGGACCCTTCTGTAAGTTCAGGGGGTCTGGCTCAAAGCCTTGCACATGCTGGAACCCAATGGTTAAAACTTGGCTAAACTTTATTACTACTCTATCTAAGAACGAGCTAATCAGAATGTTCTATAAGTTTATGTGGTCTGACTATAGCCGTATCACAACTTGAAGAAAGTACAACGAAAAATAGAATTGATGGTAAACTGAGGCAGGCTGAACTTAAGTTAGTTCAGTCATATGTAGCCTTAGAAGGCAAAGGTAAAGATAAGTATATATAACTTGGATACTTTAAACAGTCGAGGGCGACTAGAATGGTGTAGTCATGTGCCAAAGAAGAAAAAAGTAGTTGTGCCCTCTGTTTGTGTATATTTGGCAAGGTCAGAATGCTTTATAAGTTTAGGTATTCTGACTCTAGGCCAGGCTAAGTTGACTCAGAGTTGTTCTGTAAGTTAAGGTGGTCTGACCTATTCCTTATGTAAGCTGGGGATAATGGGTGTTTGTTCAGGATTGACTTTGGGATGGTGAGAGTACTTACCTTTGTGGTTTGGCCTGCATGTGATTGAGTGAGGCCACTACTTAGTCTGAGTTTCAGTTTGATCGGTAGTTGCTTTAGTCGCTCGCCACGTGCTAGAGCCCTAGGAGTTAATTTCAATTCCTGCATTTTCTGAGCTAAGTTTTTTTACTTAGGTCAATTATCGCATTTTCTGGGATCTTTTATTATACTTGGCCTTGTATAAATCTTGGCAAGCAACTTTCTCTACGGGAAGCGCTGCCGAAATTTCGACAAATCCAAAGAGTTAGTCAAATCTTGATTTGTCCAAACTTGACTTGTCTTTCTGACTTATGAAAAATATGGGAAGCCTCCTTTTCTAAAGGGAGTGCTGCCCAAATTTTTGCTAATTCAGGGAGTTATTCTAAAGTTTGGCTTATCAAAGCTTGACTTGTCGTTTCATTATATCTAACTTAGTAAAAATTTGGAAAGCCTCCTTTTCTAAAGAGAATGCTACCCAAATTTTTGCTATTTCGGGGAGTTAGTCAAATTTCTGACTTCTCAAAAGTTCAATTTGTCTAGATTTCATATATGGCTTAATATAATTCTGGGAAGCCTCTTTTTCTAAAGGGAGTGCTGCCCAAAAAATTTTTGATTCAGGGAGTTGGACAAAATTTGGACTTTGGAGAGTCAAGGGTTATTTCTGATTTCATATCCTACGGGAAGCGCTGCCGAAATTTTTCTGATTTCAGAGGAGTTAGATTATTTTCGATAGGTGGCGCTAGAGAGTGTTATATGGAGGTGTGCTATGGAGGTTTATCCCTCATATGCTGATGATTTTAGTCTGGGCTTTGGACCTATCTTGTGTTACAGGTCCTTTGGGTTGTCTGATTCAAGGTCAGGACTAAATTCAGCTTGATCCCTTGAGGATCATTATCTGTTATCACTGATAACAGGTCGGTTGTCGATTCGTCGGTTTACGGCTCAATTCCAACTCACCTTCCTCACTCGACCTAAAAGGCTTTAGCCCTGGTGATTTTATTGTTTCATTCAGGTTTCATCCGGACTTTTATTGAATGGTCATTTAACAATGGTACTGAGTATTTAATTAAGGTGTGGTTGGACAAGAGGTTGGGGCTTGCATGGCTAAAGCGAGGGGTATGAGTGTTGAAGATGGTTGGGGTTGACTCCGTGTAGTGCGTGGGCTGTTGATTGACTCGTTGATGTGATTCGCAGGTATGTGCTATGAATCAAATTCTGGATGTGGTTGCCTGCGATCACATATATACGTATGGCTGTGAGGACCCCAATGAGACTGTGAGAAGTGATCGTCACATACTTCCCCCTGTTATATATATGCATATATATCAGTTTATTTGGGATGAATACTTGCATTGGCTAAAGGGCCCCCATACTAAAAGCCTGCTCAGGGGTTAAGACTAAAAAAGACCTAGGGTAGATCCTTCCTTTTATTTGGTTTTACTTCTTAAGGATTTTTCTTAGTCGGACGTTGGTCCTTGGCCGGGATTCGAGCTCCTTGTCCAGGACATCCCAAGCCCTAGGCTCTGCAGGGAAGAGGTTTTCCCTAGCGCAAAGCCTATTTGTCTTGCCTACCGAGACGCTTAGACCAAAGGCCGGAGGTCTCGTGGCAGCTGCACGGCTATTCCTTCAGTCGTGCAATGTCATGAAGGATCAGACCCTTAAGACACTTCGAGCCTAGCACTAGAGTGTCATAATCGGTGCTCGGATCCACGAGGGACCGCTTGGTTATGGGCACTACATAGTACGCCATCGTTGCGACTACGTGCGTACGCCTGCATCGCGGGTTGGTATGAGATAGGCCCTCAGCCGCGCGACTTTATATGAAAATCCCGAGCGCAACGTTTTACCGCCCTAGTGTGTAAAAAGTTATGGGATTACAAAGGGACCGACGCATATGGGCGAATGTTTAAGATTGCTATAAGCCGCCAACGCCGCGCGAAAAAGGGAGGGTACCCCGGGGCTATGATTTTGTTTACTAGGCAGGAAACCTTCGGCCTATTCCTTATCTTTTGCTCTTTGGAGTTTTTATAGTTGGACGTTATAGTCTGTGGCAGCTGTCGAAGTCAAACCCCTTCATGTTCGACCGCCACGACAGCTTAAAGCTGTCTACTCAACCCCTCTGCACAGGGTGCAGAAGAGGGTGTGGTCTTCAACCACGCATGGCGGTTGTCGAGCGTCGAGAGATTAACCCTCAAGGCGCGTGTCAGCCGACACTTGAGTGTCGAACGTGACCCTCGCGATTAACGGGGACCGAGTGAGTATGGGTACCTCATAGTATGCCTTCATTGCGACTGATTGCGCACGTTTGCATTGCAAATCGATATGCGATAGCCCTGCGTCCGCGCGGTTTTATATTAAGTCTCATGCGCAACGCCTATTCGAACTCCGCATTGAAAAGTTATGGGACGACTACCGAGGGGCTAGGAGCGTTGTCGCGTTGTTGATGTTGTGTTATTTCGTACGTGTGTGTGTGGGTTTTATTTTTGTGTTCGTAAAGTGGTGTGAGCGTGATGTTTAGGATGCGTCCTAGTCGACCGACGACGAGCCGCGCTTGGGACTTCAGCCCCCCATGATGCCGGTTCGCGTGCGGGTCCGATAGAGGAGTATTATCGCGCGTACCCCCTATGCTACAGCGGACGAGAAACGCCCTCGGCTGGTCCACCTCTGCGATTGCAACTGATTAGCTTTCGTACTGTGGACTGGTAGCTCGCCACGGAAGGGAGGTGACAGCTCCCGTAAGGTGTAGGTAAATCGTGCCTCGCGTAGGCCCTATCATGTCGTAGGGGCTCGCGAGAGGTATGGCTGGCGCACTCGGCCGGAGCGGCTTAAGGAAGCTCCACATGTGTGATTTGCGACGAGGGATTTAAAACAACTCCTGCGTGACGCGGCCGGGAGGGTCTCGCGTTGCCCTGGTGCGGTGCCGGACCGATGCGCTCGACAAGTGGCGCCGTGTTGGTGATAACGGAAAACCTATCATTGTCCCTGGTGGAACGACATCCGGGTATGAGAAGTGAATAGGAAAAAGGCATAAAGGAAGGACAAGAAGGTAAGAAAAAGTAATGAGTGACTAAGTATAGGTGAAAAAGTTTACCTACCTGAGTTAGGGAAAGTATGAAGGACGATCGTGCTAGCATTGGGTAAAGTATGCAGTAAGGGTTAGGCAGAGCGGAAGGAATAGACCGGTCAAGGTGAAATGTTGAATAAAGGAGTGTGCTTGTTTTTCTCTTATCAGGGAGCTTGAGGAGAAGAGTTTGTCAACATGTCGCAAGGCAGCGGCGCGTCGGGTGCTCCCAAAAAAGGCCTGACGCTCGATGACCTTATCGCGGCTATTGACAGGCATGAAAGAAATACAAGCAACATCCCCAAGGTCGATACCTTCCATTTTTGTGGGGAGAGAGTCTCAGAATGGCTGGGGCGGGTGGAACAAGCTCTGGTCGGGCGGTTGGATGTCATAAAATTTCAGCGCATTCTCCAGTACGTTCACAACTACCATCAAGAGGTGAAAAAAGTTATAGACGCAGCCCGAGGTAGCTGGGAAAGGTTCGAAGAGGGAATGCAGAGGAAGTACCGCCTGGGAGATGGACTATTGACCACTGCGGACCTTGAAGCAATGAACAAGGAGGATTTTACRACGATAGGGGCCTTTGTTCAGGAGTTCAAGAAGAGGGCGCGGAAGGTCCATGGGATTTCAGAGGAGGCAAAGTGCGCCATCTTCCTGGGACTACTCACGGCATCAGAGGCCGTTGAGCTGACGAGACATGGAGGGGGTAGCACCAAACTCACATGGGCCACCATTGACAGATGGGTGGAAGTTGGATGTTTAGACCAGGTGGAGCAACGTCAGGCACGCCTGCAAAGGCAGAAGAGAAAGGAAAGAGATGCGACCGCTTCTGGGACCCCGGGGGTAACAAGGATTGTTACAGACGTACTGGCACAGCTGGGGTATGCGACAGAGCCGGTGGTGCAAAGGAGGGTAGTAACGGCTGTCCAAGTGAAGGGAAAGGAGCCGGTGATAGAGGAGGTTGTTCAGGAGGAGCTCTTGGAAGAGGAAGAGCTGGTGCCGCAGCGCCTGACGAACGCCCAACGCAAAGTGCGTAACTTGGCGTAGGGCGGACAGAGATCAGGAAAAGTGGAGGCGCCGCAGGCCTTGACAGCAACCCCTTTAAATGTGGTGGCTCCATCATCTTATACGGGCCCCTCGCAAGGAGGGGCGCCCTTCTACGGACAGTGGCCCTGGCCGGTGATTAATGCAATCGTACCATGGGGTAGCCCGCCGCCAGTAGCCGGACCACAAACGTGTATGTTGCCACCCATTTACCCCGCAGCCTTGGCTCAGCCTGTGGCCCCGCCACCGTCACCCGCTCCCAGTTCACAGGGAAGCGTGGTAGGAGGTGGGAAGCAGGGGCAGGGCAATCAAGGCAACGGAGGGAGGGGTGGAGGAAGGGGGCGAGGCAGGAATGGCGGCAGAAGAGGAGGGTAATGGAATAGTAAAGGCCGAGGAAACCAAGGCCAGGGGTACCAAGGCCAGGGGAATCAAGGCCAAGGGTACCCAGGCCAGGGGTATCAAGGCCAGGGGGATCAGGGAAGTCTGGGGTATGGGAGACCCCGTTTTGACTGGAGGACGGCCATCTGCCAGCACTGTGACCAGCAAGGCCACACCATAAGGTTCTGTAACATAAGACGGGAGGACGAGAGGAGCGGGATGATCTCCTCCACCATGGATGGGAACATTTACGATCAGTTTGGGGAGGCTATTGACAGAAGGCTTGGAGGAGTGAGAGCGGAAGCCCAACGAAGGGCGGCAACTGGGCCGTCACCCCCTGCCACGATCAAGCTATGGCAGGAAAAGGAGGAACCACCGATTGGGGTAGAGGAAGTGGGGAACGACGAGGAAGTGACTCAAGGACCACGTGGAGGAAGTAGGAGGGAAGAGCCCATAATCATCGAATCGGATGATGAAGACGAGGAAAGAAGGATGAAATCGCCATCCGTCTTATTGAGGAAGATGGAGCACCTACTGAAGAAGGTGGGAAGGTACCTTCAGAAGTTGGTAGACCTCTGCGACGAAGTGAAGAGATGGAGGTCTAACATCCCCAAGGTGTTCCTCTATGACTCCGTCCCGGAGTCAGCGAGTGGGCGACCCGAAGTAAATGTGGTGGGGTCGTGCCCACAATCGGGAATGATGGGGAGACCCCTCACCTCGCAGGCCCGGCTGGCACAAGCAGCGCGAACGAGGAATCAAGCCAAGGCCAGTGCCAGCCAAGAGCCTCCGAGGAGGGAGCCCGAACCGGGGAAAAGAAAGGAGGCTGTGGAAGTGGAGGATGACGACAATGAGGAGGAAGAGGACGAGAGGCTACGCAGAGAAGAGGATCAGAAAGCGGAGCAGCGGGCAAGGCAAAAGGGAGCCAGGGGAGAGGTCGAGCCGGTCGTGTGTGACGGACCGCCCAAAAGGAAGAAGTATGCGGTTCAGTTGGAGGAGAGGGTTGACGTGGAGAGAGTGATCGATCGGCTGCTAGAAAGGCATAATGACTTCGTGACTCTGAAGGAAATCCTGGCGTCAGCCCCGCGACTCCGCGATGAATTGAAAGGGAGGTTGTCACGGCGCTTGGTGTCCAACGTCCATCTAGGCACGATTCTGCCCAAGGAGGGAGAGTGGGCGGAGTCAGGCACGAAGATGGATTGGAAGTGCGTGGCCTGCGACACGGTGGATTTAGTGGTGAAGGGCTCCAAGTGTGCAACAATGGTGGACACCGGGGCGGAAATGAACATCATCCGGGAGGCGGATGCTATCAGATTCGGGCTAGACATAGACCGATATGAATGCGGTATTTTGCACGGGGCCAGCTGCAAGGCCGTGTTTTGTGGGAGAGCGTCGAATGTACTCATCGAGGTTGGAAACGTGAAGGCCCGAGCTTGCTTCTTGATCATGTCGGACGTGGACCATGGGATCCTCCTAGGGAGGTCATTTTTGAGTAGGACAGAAACCGTGATGTTCAACAAGCATGACGGTACTCTGATCCTCCTCCTATGTGACCCTGCCTGAGGGAATCACGAGATAATTATCTGCAGGAATACAGGAACGAGGAGTATAAGGAACCGGCCCAACCCGGGATCCTTCACGATCGAAGAATCGGAAGGCGAGCGTAGAAGACTTCGGGCGGAGCCGGAAGGAGAAGAAGAGGTGAAAGCATTTTCCCTTAGCCTATCGGACATCGGAAAGGTCATGGATTTAGTGGCCGCACATGAGATGGCGGATCCGGATGCCATCCAGGACTTGAGGGAGCAAGTTCTGGAATGCCCTGAGGCTGGGAGATTTGAGCTGGTGTACCGTCTTCCAGATGGAAGAAAGAACCCCGCGTCCTCGCAGGCGGTATCTGTGAGTCGGTTTTTTTTGGGGGATGGCTCAAGCAGGGTTCCCAAAGGCGGTAGAAGACGGTAGACAAGAAGTGCCGCCCAGTTCCCGTCCTCGTTACAGAGGACGAGGAAACGTATTACGAGAGGGAACGAGGGTTGATTCGACGAATGAGGGAGAGTGCTTTAGCAGGACCATGTCGTATCAACGAAGGAAATGAAAGGGAGTTGATTATAGGGGAACCAGACTTCCTATTGCCTCAAGAGCGGATATTGATGGTGGAATTGATGAAGAGGAGGCATCACGCCTATGCGTTTAGTGACGAGGAGCGTGGCAGGCTGGATGTAGAAAAAATACCTATGATCAGCATCCACACAGTGCCACACGAGCCTTGGAAGATGAGAGGGGCGTGATATCCTAATCCTAACGAGGAGAAGAAGGTGGTGGATTACCTTGATGGCAAGATAAGTACGCACGTCGCCGACTATTCGAGTGGGCCGTATGCATGCCCGTGGTTCTGCTTCATCAAGCCTAATGGGACGCTGCGGTGGGTACAAGATTTGCAAAGACTGAATGTGGTGACCGTGCGGGACGCTGGAGGACTGCCAAATGCGGATACTCTATTAGAATCCTATGCTGGAAGGCCTATAATCTCACTTATAGACCTTTACTCAGGATATGATCAGTTTCTGATCTACCCGCCAGATAGGCCAGTGACGGCAATACACACGCCGGGAGGACTAATCCACATGAACGTGGCCCCACAAGGGTGCACCAACGCGGTAGCAATGGTCCAACGGGCCATGATTCGGACTATGCAGTTAGTTAGCCCCCATATCACCATCGACGATTTGACGGTGAAGGGGCCGGCAATAAAGGAGAGCGACGAGGTGTTGCCAGGGGTAAGGCGCTTTGTTTCGAAGCACATCGAGGACCTCGATAAAGTCCTGAGTCTGCTTGAGGAGCACAACCTCACGGCGAGCGGGGCCAAATCCAGACACTGCATGAGGGAAGCGACTATCTTGGGGTTCGTCTGCAGCGAGAAGGGACGAAGGCCAGATGTGAAGAAGACGGACAAGATTACTGAGTGGCCAGTTTTGTTCCACTCAATAACTGATGTCCGAAGCTTTCTTGGTACGTGTGGATTTTGGAGGGCCTTCGTCAAGAACTTTGCCGCTAAGACTGAGCACCTGAGGAAGTTAGTCCGTCAGTATCAAAAATGGGTTCAGGGTGAAGAGCAAGAAGAGGTGGTGGCTAAGATGAAGGAGGAATTTTGAGAAGGAGGGTTGGTGTTAGGAGCGCCAGATTATGATGCCACGGAAACACGACCCTTCATTGTCGAAACAGATGCGGGGCCTACTGCCTTAGGAGGAGTTATAATTCAGACAGACATGGAAGGAAAGGAAAGACCCTTGCGATTTGAGAGCCGGACTCTCTGTACGACAGAGAGAAACTACTCTCAGTTCAAAAGGGAGACTCTTGCTGTCCTCCACTGTCTACGGATCTTCCGGAACTACATCTTCGGCAGGAGGTTTATTTTGAGAGTGGACCCAACCGCCCTGACCTACTCTCTAAGGAATTACGTTCCATCGGATCCGATGGTTGCCAGATGGCTGACGTACATCTGGATGTTTAACTTCGAGTTGGAGCGTATTCCTGGTAGCAAGAACCAGGCGGATGGGCTGAGTCGTATCAACTGGGATAACCAGGAAGGAGAGGCGGTGGAGAATACGCCCCCAGTTGATGGATTCCTGGATCAGGAGGAAGATGTCCGTCTCCATATCAACAACTGGTCGCTGCGAGTGCCTAGCTGTGTGGGCTATCCTATTTGGCAAGCGCCGATCGGATATGAAAGGAGGGCAGAGCTAGTCCTCAAACCCTTTGAAGAAGAAGATCCTTGGGGAGGTAAGGATGTTCAGTAGATGATAGAGTTGGCGCTGGCAAGTTCGCATAGTCTTGTGAAAGACATAAGAACGATCGAGGAAGGACCAGACCAGGTAGAACGACATGAGGATCTAATGGGAGTAATGTATCTCCTCGTCAACACGCTATTGCAGGAAAGCCTCGACCACTTAGACTCGTTGAACCTGACAGGGAATGTGGACGAAGTGTCCGAGAGCCAGGACGACGAGTTCGAGGAGGGGGAGATTAAGGAGACCTTTCATGCGGAGGAGTATGATGGGATCTATCTAGAGTTGGGGCTTCTCTTGTCTTGCGAGATGCGGCTCAGGGATGCAGCGCTACTTAGTGCAAGATGGCCACCTCTTCGTAAAAAGAGAAATGGGGAATCCCAGGAGAGTCGTCTGCGGTAGGAACCGCTAGATTGACGTCGTAGCAGCACTTCATGATGGCATTGCAGGAGGGCATCGAGGGGTACAAGCCACGCATGCCAAAATAAGTGAGCTGTACTACTGGGATGGGATGATGGATATGGTCAGGAAGTTCTGCTGATCCTGCGTACCCTGTAAGGAAAGATCCCGTTTAAGGCAAGGAGAGCCGATGCATCCAAGGCTAGAGCGAGAGGTGGGGTTTGTAGTGCATCTCGATCTGCTTTTTATGCCGCTTGGGGATCAGGGTTATAACTATATCTTCGATGCGGACGATAACCTGTCTAGGTTCGTAGACGGGCGTGCTATTCGCACAAAGACCGGGTCAGTCCTGGTGAGCTACATCGAGGAGTATTACCTACGCTATCCTTTCGTCAGGGAATTCGTAATGGATAGGGGATCAGAGTTTACCTGCCAGGAGGTGCAAGAATTGTTATCAAGATATGGTGTAGCAGCCAACTACACCACGGCCGCGCACCCCCAGGCAAATGCTCCCGTGGAGAGAGGACATAGTACCATTACGAGCCTCCTGGCTAAGTGGACCGAAGGTAGGCCCAATCAATGGCCAAGATACCTAAGAGCGGCGTTCTTTGTCGAGAACATTACAGTAAAAAGATCCACCAAGTATGCACCGGCGACACTGTGGTATGGAAGGCACGCCACCTTCCCTATCGAAAGCTTTCTTAAGACATGGAGGCACCAGGATCAGGAAGTTAACCTGTCATTTGAGGAGTTGCTCGATATCTGGGCGCGACAGATAGGGGTGATAGAAGAAAGGATCCAGGAGGCGTCTGATCAGGTGGTGAGAAGCCGTATGGATGATAAGGCTCGATGGGATCAGTCTGTGCGAGTGAGGAAAGTACCCTTGGCAGTTGGAAATGTCGTGCTTCTATACGATTCATCATTGGAAAAGCAGTGGTCCAGAAAACTCGATAAGAGGTGGTTAGGTCCTTATCGGATAGTACGGGTCGGAGATTTTGGAGCGTACCAGATTGAGGAGCTAAATGAGACGAAGTGGAAGGATTGGGTATCTGGAACGAGATTGAAGAAATTTGTGGCGAGAGAAAAGGTAAGAGAGATGACCTAACTGCCTTTAGAATAAAAGTAGCAGGGTGTATAGGTTAGGTAGGATGCATGATGTATGAGTATGGTCGGGTCTGAGCTTGCTTTGATTATCACCTGTATGCTTACCCCAATGTGTGCGTGTTGTCTCCTTCGCCTGTTGTGCAGGTCTGACTTTACGAAGACAACCATGCCAAAAGGAGGAAAGGGAACACGGCCGCCTCAGAGGCCGTTGGGAGCATTAGGAGGATATGAGCGGCATGGGCTTCGCCATCGAGATAGTACTCCGGTGTACGATGATGGGGACATCGAGCTATTCCTGGACTACTTCTGGGATCATGCGAGGCGTATGGGCTGGACCGTGGCCCAGGCGATTGAGAGACTGAGGGGAGCAGGCAGATTCGAGGAGCCCGTCGTGCGGATCCGTAGGGAGGCGACGACGAGATCAGAGGTGGAGTGGAGGATGCAGGAGCTGCGACCCTCGCCTGTGGGACCTGATGGCACGCCGATCCACCTGGAGATTGGAAATGCGTCGGATTTCATCCCCGCGTTTGAGTGGTTCATGCAAGGGCAGGGTATACTGAGAGATGATTGGATGCAGACTCTACCACTCTGGACCAGGAAGGCGGAAAGGCCACTGGCTAGCCAAGTCAGAAGCATGGCCCGGGACTGGGAGAGCTGCAGGGCACATCTGAGAGAGGCCTTTCGACAGCCAGAGCCCCCTCAGCCCAGAGTTGAGAGGCGTCAGAGGAGTCAGAGGCAGAGGGACCCTGAGCCAAGGGAGGCGAGACCATCTCGAGGAGGACGAAAGGCCCTAGCTAGGAGAGAGGAGGAGCCAAAGGCTGAGGAGCGAGGCGCGTACCCTGAGTGTGGGTTGGGACCAGTGGAGTTCCATCGTTTTGCCGAAGGTGAATTGAGGAGGTCGCCAACACGCACACCGGAGGGTCCAGCGTCTGAGGAGCCTTTGAGGGAGTTGGAGGCGCACTTGGATATCTCTCAGTGGAGAGCGTCGCCCCGGGGTGAGGAGCGTGGAGAGCAGGCAGAGGAGGTGCCACGAGAGGAGGTGCCGCAGGAGGAGGTCCAGGATACTCGGCGAGAGAGAGGGCTGGACGATGAGGGGAGACGTGCAGGGAAGGAAGTAATAGAGGTTGGAGAGGACACGCCCCCTCAGACGCCAGCGGTGGGTTTGAGACTCGGGGATGCACCAGGGAGCACTCGCCAGGCGGGGGAGAGGTTACAGAGAGAGGAGGCCCCATTACCTTCATAAAAAAAGGCTCCTTCCCCAGAGGAGAGAGCAGAAAGGAGGAGAGAGAGGGCAGCTGTAAGGAGAGAAGCCTTGACCCTGATTGACAGACACCTAGCAGCTCATGCCTGGAGCACCCAGACCTGGAAGAGCCAACACCTGTAGAGCCGCGCCAGGAGCCGTGCCAGCCCGAGAAGGAGATAGAGGCAGAGATCCCGAAGAGGGTTGACCTCCGAACGAGGGATAGGGCGCCAGCTGGAGGGACAGCAGAGGAAAAGAGGGCGAGAAGAACCAGGAGGATAGACGAGATATGGCAAGAGAGGCAGAGGTTGGAAGCAGTGGGGGAGCTTCCGGAGCAGCAGCAGGAGAGGCAAAGATCAGAGGCAGCAGGACCACTCCCAGGTCAGCCACCTGCCGCGCCAGCGAGGGCCCCGGAGATCCCTGAGATGTGGAGGGACTTCTGGGAGTAGAGAGGAGAGGAGCTTCCTTCGCCAGTCAGAGCCGGGCTTGGGGTGGCAAGGAAGGCAGAAGAAAGGTTGGATCGCAAAATCAAGTTCCTGGCCAAGGCAACTTTTGACCGACACTTGCTATTGGAGAGCGATCTGGCAGGAAAGAAGATAAAGGAAGCAGGTCATGGGGTACGCTTGGAGGCTATGGAGGTGGAAATCCAAGAACTCAGGGCATTGGTGGCCAGTCAGGCAGCTATCATCGAGAGCCTGAGGCAGCGATCTCAGGGAGAGGTGGACAAGCCAGAGAGCAGCCGACAGGGAGAGCAGAGGCAGTCAGGACATGGTTTGCTAGGACAGCCATCTGCAACAGAGACTAGCCAGGATCCACCTATGGGGAAAGTTATCCTGGAGCTAGAGGAGGCGAGAGCTCAGAGGGAGGCAGAGAGAGAGGCCTTCAAGTTTAGAGCCCCTACTGAGCTCGCCACGCTTGCCTATAGCAGCGGCTGGCCCAGTCATACCCTTGGCAGTTGAGGAGGGATTACCATCATCCAGCAGTGAGCCGGCTCAGGGCTCAACAGAGGGATCTAGGGACGTGCTTATTGAGGTAGTGCACTCGATGCAGGAGGAGGCGAGCTTGTTTTCGCCTGAGCAGAGGATAGAGGAGCCCTTTGAGAGAGAGATAGGGATTGAGGCGGAGGGTGTCATCGAGGGCAGGCTCCAGAGGTTGGGCACACCTGAGTATGGGCCAGGGGGGATTGAGGATCGACCAGGGCCGAGTACCCAGGAGGTGGAGATAGGAGAGGAGCCTTTGGATATGCCTCAGAGCCATGAGCTGAGCAGGGAGGCTAGCGAAGCACCATCGTCGTTAGGGTCTCAGAGAGGAAAGAAGAGGTCCAGGAAGTGGTTCGATACGTCCTGTTTCTTCTGTACCAAGAAGGGGCATCGAGCCTTGCAGTGTCCTAAGTTCCTGAAGGACAAGGCCGAAGGGAAGGTTACAGAGGCAGGAGGCAGGATGTATGATAGACAGGGCAGGAGAGTAGAGAGATCTACAGATGGGGGTAGGGATCAACTATATAGGCAAAACCGGGAGGAAATGAGCGATCAGGACTGAGTTACCTATATGGTTGACATGTTGCGTGTAGGACTAGAGTTAGGATTGGATCCTATAGACCTAGGTGTTATTTGCATTTGTTGAGCAGTTTGGGTTTGGTTTTTGTTGAGTCTGCCATCTTGAGGGCCAGGACGTGGTAGATGAGGCCTGCACATACTTAGGTGGCCTACGCCCTGATCTTCGAGAGACAGACCCAACTTGTACTTTGAGGACGACATCTGTGTGAGTGTGGATTTGAGTGAGTTGAGTGGGCTATGGTTTGGAGACATTTTTGTGCGGGATATTTTATCCCTGAGTGTATATTATATTGAGACCTTTTGGGGACTACTTTGTTATGTATAACGATCACTCTCACACTCACTCGTGTGGTCCTGGTTTGATGGATGATGATTGATGTGAAATATGTGTAAGAAAAATACTTTATGTACCTTGTACTTGTGAATTTGGATGAATGTGAACTGTCTACTCGTCGGTATACTCGCACGATCTGCCCATGGGCGGTTGAGAAGGCCGAGTATAAGGCAAGAAAGCGGAGTCCGTTTTGTGAAAGGATGTGAGGATCCTGAATATTTGTATGGTGAGTGTTCTACTGTTGAGCTGTGCGGAAGACCCACAACTTGGTCTTTTATATATGGAGTATATGATGAGTGGGACACCTGTGAATGTAAAGGTTGTCCATTATCTATTTAGAAGACGCACCTTCAGAGAGGGAAGATGCGTTAAAGAAAAGGTCGCGAGAGAGTTCATCCTAGTGAGAGAGGGACGACTGAGAGACCTATTAAAGTAAGACCTCCTCTATAAATAAGGTGGTTAAATAGATTGATAAATAAAAGGTTGACTTTGAGTAATAAAAGACTGACGAGAGGAACCAGATTTTGCTTGACTATTGGTGAAATTCTTGGACGCCGCAAATGGCGTGTTTTAAGAGATGTCATCAAGATGTGTGACTTTCTTGCTCTGATCAAGCAAGGAGGCCACGGCCTTGTGAACCAGGCGGTGATTTTGTTTTGAAATGGTGGAGAGGTTGTCGTGCTTCCTCTGTATTGTCCCACAGAGGGACTGGTAAATACCTTTATGTGCGACAAGTCTATGCGTAGTCCTGGAGTAGGCCTGTATTGTTGCGACACACCGTCTCGTCGCTTGTGTTAATCTTGGACATTTATAAGAGACCCAGCTAGGGGTATAACTAGCATCACTAAGGCGCAACCCCTAGTGTTGGCCGCTGTTTGGCACAACGTGAGCAGAGGGTCTGCGTCTGGCCAAGGAAGTAAAGACTTAAAGGGGCGTGAACGCCTAGGAGGGTTTTACCCCTTCGGAGAGGCGTGGGATAACAGTCGAGTCATATGAGTCTTTTTTACGAAGTCCTAATTGAATGCTTATCAGGAACTGCCTATCGTGGCTCAACCCGCGAAGGCACTACCGCTGAAATAACAATGCGGTGGGCCGTAGATCTGGAATGATCACCCAGACTATGGTGGGCCAAGATGGAGACCTAGTCTTCCTGTACTAGACTAAAGGGAGGTTTATGTGGAGATTTATTCGGTATATTTACATATGCTTAATGTGAAGTTTTTTGAGGGAGGCGAGAGAATGCCTTCAAAGGTCTTGGTTAGGGCCCGCGCCCCTAGTCACGACCTTGGTTTCAGGGAAAGGGCTAGGGGCACACAACGAGGAGCCGGCGGTCGTCTAGGGCACAGGGAAGAGGACAGTGAGAGATCCAATGAAACTTATGCTGTAGTACAGTGAAAAGTACCCCGACGTCCGAGCGTCAGGACGGCGGAGACCCAGGTTGGAATCCTGGCAGCATAAAGTTATGTTTGGCATGGATTATTGGAGGCCTCAATCCTGGGTCTGTGGGTTAATCGGATTGGTACCCTGCTCGTCAGCACTTTGAGATTGTGGTTGAATTGATAGTTTTTGATCCTGCGAAGCGACGGGGACGTCGCTTAATATGGTCTGGTAAGCTGTCGGTGCGAATACCCTTACAAGGGTATCCGCCCTGGATTTTACACATGACAGAAAATAAGTTCGAATCGGAATTCTTGAGTAAACCGTGTAAGTCCCGGCAGTCCTCTGACCGAAAGTTTGATCAGAATGTCTAGAAGTAGAGAGTGCGTGGGCGCGCGGATTTAAGGCGCGCGTGATCTCTTTCCCTATGGATGATTATAGAGTCGGCGCGGTTGTCAGCTGCCTTGTTTTTTTAATATTATTATTTATTTAATTAAAATTAATTGATATTTTATTTTGATTGGTACGTTTTACTGAGACATGCGCGCGTACGTGGAAGCCGGCCTCGACGACAGTGTGACTTTGTGTGGTGAGCAGAGGGTGCGAGGAAATAGAACGCACGTCAGGTCTCCGCACAGTAGGTGCGGGAGCTTGGCAGGCGAAGAGTGTTGACGGCACGGTGCGGACCTTTGGGGTATGGGGTGTGCGGCGCAAGGGTGACAAGACAATGGCCCCAGATTCCTTATTTTTTAGGTCCATTTTGTTTATTTTTTATTTTTATTTTTATTTATTTTTTTGTTTCCTAGTTTTATTCTGGGTCCAAGACTCTGGTGAGACCGACGGGTTTAGTTCAGTGAGCACGCCATTGAAAAGTGGAAATGCAGACCCGAGTTCGGGCTCCAGCGTGTTCGAGAGGTTGCTGAAAATCTCTCCCTCGCGTCCATCTTGAAAGGCACAGGCCGAGGAGTTTAACATGCATACAAGTCGGTGGGTGATTAGCCCACGAGGTGGAGGGAACCCGGGATGCGCGGGCCCTTTGAGGGTATGCCGCCCACCAGCCGTGAGCCTGCGGTGGAAGTTTTGAGTGTGAGCATGCCATTGGGACCCGAAAGATGGTGAACTCTGCCTTGAGACAAGGGACAGGGAGGTGCTAGTGGGAGGCCGCTACAGCAATGGCTGGGTGGCGCTGTCCTGCGGCTGTTCTCGTGGGACCCCTTCTCCGCTACGACCTTCAAAGTTCTCATTTGAATAATTGCTACTACCACGGAGAACCGCACTAGGCTCGATCCCTAGATCCCAACCTTACCTATGTACAGCAGCTGTGCCGGTCCCGAACTTTAAACCTGCGACCTGTGTATGAGTGGTCATAGGTAGGCCTTTGTAGGGTCTATAGGTAACAGGGATTTGATCTGTAGACCAGTAGGGTAGAGGTCTAGCTGTAGTCCCCTAGGAGGTCACCAAGCGTTTTAGTAGTGTGATTAGAGCAGGCCCACGTTCTAGGCTGAGACGAGTGGTGAGGTCAACCGGTGAGACCCCAGTGCGATTGCACGAAGTCCACGGTATGACGACCTACAGACGGTGGAAGAGCCCAGACAGTCCCGGTCTGGCCCAGCAAAATACCAAGGGCACAGTGAGCACCAAGGGCAGATGGCAAAGGGCAGGCCAACGAGTCTCCGAAGTATAAATCAAGGGGCAGCACCCAGCCATTCTGTGATTCCTGTGGAAGCCTTGCGGTAGCGCTGTCTCATTGTCGGGTTGAAGGAGGCGTGCGACGGGCACTGGGCCGATGAGACAAGGCAGGGAGGCTACAAGCAGCTAAGAACGGGTGAACAAAGGGTCGGATCTGGGCGCAGGATTGCGCCGGGTGCATCCAACCAAAGGAGAAACGGAGATGGCACGGTGGTGAGACGAGGCGTAGCACTGGAAATGGAGTCACGAAGGACTGAGCAAGCGGAGCATATGACGGGAGACTGGAGAACCAGAGGATTGAAGAAAAACAAAAGGGAGAGGGGGAAGAACCTGGATGGGCTTGCTGCCAGGTTCATGTGGAAATGAAGTGGGCTATGGCGGAGAGTGGGGGAGTATGAAGTGAGTAGTTCGCCCCATTCTCGATAGAATCAGGCAAACAAAGACTCGGTTACATAATTTTGGAGTAAGGCGAGTCCAAATCCAATATTAGTTTCAGTTGAAAGTTAGTAGAAATGGGAGGTTGAAGAAAAATTGGTGCGCGGGGGATGGCAGATCGGAGGAGGGAGAGGATGAAAGAATGCTTATCTCGT